ACTCGGGAGGCTGAGGCAGGAGGATCGCTTGAGCCCAGGAGTTTGAGGTTGCTGTGAGCTAGGCTGAAGCCATGGCACTCTGCCCCGGGCAACAGAGTGAGACTCTGTCTCGAAAAAAACAAAACAAAACAAAAAACACCTTGAAAAAAACTTCTCAAAACACTCCCAACAAAGCATGAATTTTATGCAACCAATATAATTCTATACCCCAGCATTTTGAAAGATTATGGGAAAGGAAGCTAATAACCCTGTACTGTAAGTATGTCCACCTTTTGAGGAGATTATCATTCACCATATCCTATAATATTACATACAATATTAATTTTATATATACCGTAATATTCACCCTTTTAAAGTGTACAATTCAATTTTTAGTAGTATATTTTCACAAAATTGTGCAACCATCACCACTAATTCCAGAACTTCTGCATGTCTGTTATTCAGAAATGATCAAATAACTACCATTAATTCCAAATAATTATAAACTAACCAATATGTCAATATATTCAAGCCCAACTTTAGTTATTTCTCTAATAGTAGGTTACCTAATCCACAATCTAACAATTTTGAACAGTAACTGGCAGAATAGCACCAAAACCTACAACAGAATACTCAAGATTTTTTGAGGGGCAGGATACTCTTCATTAATAGAAATCAATAGTTCATCAAGAGATACAGTTGAATGCTTTATTTTATGACCAAGGTCTTGTAATCAGACAATTGCTAAGCCAATTCCTTACTACCACGGGAGACAACCAGTGGACTGTGAAGTTGCTCCTTTTATGATCCAGTTCAGGACAGCAAACTAGCTCAACTTACAATGAAATTCATCAATAGATCCTAATTCAAATATGACAGACAATATGGGCTAAGAGAATTGGGGCATATGCAGAACTCTACATAGGAATTAAGATTTCAAAAAGCTGGAGAAAAGCAAAGTAGACATGTTCAGGAACTCTAAAGGGGACTATGCTCTTAAAGTCCCTTAAAATTGCTAATACTACAATTACAGATAACTCCAATGAAAGGAAAAACAAGCAAAGCTGCCTTTTGTTTTAATTTATTATTTTATTAGTTTTCTTTAAAAAAGTATGTGACATAACAAATGCAAATAGAGGTATATTTTCAAGTGTCAGAAGTGAAACTTAGAGAAATAAAGTGAGAGCTCTGTACACTTCCAGACTTTCTGCATCCATACCACAAACATAAATACAAATGGTTTTTGGATTCAGAAGTAGAACTGTACCACACATTTCATCCAGCACTTTTTGCCTTATATCAACACACATGAATCTAGAATATATATGAAAACTTTGTTTTTCGTTGCCATACCCCAGAGCTCGGAAGAGTGCCTGGCACAGGAAAGGCATTTGCATGCTGATACACTTGTAAGTTAACATCAAACTTTCCTAGTAGAACCATCAAATCTCAAATTGATTAACCACCAGCCCAGATTTCTTCCCTAAGCTTCAAACTTGAAATACTGAACTGCCCGATCTACAGGACAATTGCATTATCACATCTAAAAGACAACGCAAGCTCCGCACAGCCCAAACGGAAAACGGGAAATCTTTAGCCCCCAGCACCCAACAAGCTTCTTTCTTACTACACATCTTAAACCAAAAACCCACATTCAATCCGTCAGCCAAGTCTCTCAGTTCCATCTTCAAAATTTCTATTATTTGTTTCCCTCCATACCAACCTTAATCCGAGGAATTTCATCTTGTCTAAATTAATGCAAAAATATCCTTGCTTCCTTTCTTGTCCCCCCCCAATCTAGTTTCCACACAGCAAAGTAATCTTATTAAAAGACAAATTATATCAATTATCCCTCTGCTTAAAACCTTTCGATAATTCCTCCAAACACACAGAATAAAACCCAAACTCCTTATTACAGCATGTAAAACTCTAATAAGGCTCCTGCCCACCTTTTCATTCAGACCAAATCCTCTAATGCAAAACAGGTCGTCCCAAACGGCAGGGCCACGTGTTAACCGAAACATGGCCTCTCAGGTCTGAAGTCCTTCTCCTTCCTTTCAGAGCCCGGGGACACAAAAGGCACCCACTGAGTAATTCTCTCCTTAGGTCTTTCCCTCTCCCGGTGTCCGCCACTGGCCTTACCCCTCCAACAGCTCAATCTCCCGCCTACCTTAAAGATGGCGTAGCCCACGGATGTTTCAAACAGCACCAACATGGTGAGGCCGGGTCAGGGAGCCGCGCGGCCCGCCACGAGCTCTTATCCCTGTGCAAAAAGACCAACTTTCCGGCCCCAAAAGGCCCACTACGCCGCGGCTGGCAAAGCACAAACGTGCACGCCTTCCTGCTAAGAATCAGACCACGTTGCTAAACGTTCCACTCCTAACTGCAAGTAGCACGCAAGAACGCGCTTCTCCTTCTCCAAGGATTCTGGGATAACAACGTCACTTCCGACAGAAACCTGCCGCATAGCATGTCGTCACTTCCAGACTGTTCCCGCCATAAGGGGCGGGGGATGATTACGAAAATACTATATCGCGAGATCTCTTAGGGGCTGAAGCGAAGCTTTGCGTAGCCGGAGATCTGAAAGAGAACTTCGCGTGTTTTTTTTTTCTTTTTCTTTTTCTTTTTTTTCACTCCCCCAGTAAATGATATAGTTTACCTTGAAAGAAGTGCGGAGCTGTCTCGCTCCTTGTCTGCCTCATGCATCCGGTATTTGAAATGCTGGCTAGTGCCGTTAGACTTTATTCCCTTTCAAGCCTTGCCTTGAAGTGAAGGCCCCAGAACGACACCATGACTGTCAATATATTTGCGAGCTCTCCTGGCTGTGCTCTTCTCTATGGCCAAACTAATTTTTAGCATAAAACTCTTTCAAACATGTAAGCCTCTCCCATATTTGCTGTATTTGTTGAAATGACTCCTGGGCAGGGTAAGAATTTAGACTTTGTCTCCTTTTCTTAGTGTAATATGGTTTTCTGGGATCGTTGCCCCTCAGTGACTGGATTTAAATACCCCAATTCTTCCACAAGTCTGGCTTCCAATAGAAGTAAAATTTCCTTCCTCACTTACCAGGTCCTATATGAAAATTCCTGTAAACATTAAATTGCAACCTGTTCAAGATTATGAAATAACAACTTGATTTTCTCCAGCAACTCTATGACCTGGGATCAACAGGAAAGAAAATCTTCGATTGAATAACAGAAAAAATGAAAGTGGAAGAAAGTCCCAGAATAGAGGAATCTGGGGGGCAGACAAGAGCAGGGTTGATTACAGCCATAGCTGTAATCCAGCATAGGCAAGAGAAACCAAAATGGCTTGGGTGGGAGAGGGGCATAGGCTGGTGAATGAGACAAAAGCGCTATGTCTCTTTACAGTCTTATTTAACAGCACAATATTTTCTATCTAACTCCTTAAAAGAAGTGCCACTTGCTAGAGTAGAGGCTGTATCATACACTTACTTGTGTCTGTATAGAGCATTATGTTGTGCTAGTCATAAAATAGAATCTCCCTAAATAATTCTTAAAATTTTAAAGAATGAACATCTGCAGGAAGTAAAATTCTTTTTACATCTAAAGCTTTCTTTGATTTTAATTTGCTCTTCTATTTCTAGATTCTTGAGATTAATATTAAGAATGATTTTTAACTTCTTTTCTAATATATATGTATATTTTAAAGCTAAAAATTTCTAAACACAGTTTTAGCTTCATCCCACAAAATTTTACATTTTGTATTAATATTTTTATTATTATTTACTTCAAAATATTTTCTGACATTCACTGTAATTTCTTCTTTGACTTCTTTGAAGTTCATACCTAAATTTCAAAATAGGTGAGAATTTTCTACATGACTCTTTGTTATTAATGTCTAGTTTAATTTCATTGTGATGTGTTGGTCCGAGCGCAGTGGTGTTTTCAACTAATTGATCACAACCAGTTACAGATTCCTTTGTTCCTTCTCCACTCCCACTGCTTCATTTGACCAGCCTTTAAAAAAATAAAAAATAAATAAAATTTCATTGTGATCAAAGAACATACTTTAAATGATTTGAAGTTTGTTGAGACTTGCTTTAACCCCTAGTATATCGTCAATTTTTGGTAAGTGATCGTGTGTGCTTGAAAAAAATAATGTATATTCTTCAGCTGAACAACTTGTTTCCCCAACCCCAAACCCCTGCTTAGCTACTCAGTCTCTTGGCCACTGCTTTCTGCCCAATGTCTCATCCTCTAAGCCATCCCTTTGTGTTAGCAAATTCCACAAGGGAAAAAATGGCACCAAAAATAGGGCTCACCTTTCTGGGCTTCTCTTCTCTATGAGATTTGCCCCCCAAAATCCTCGTTGCCTTGATAAGTCTCAGGTGCCTTAAAACAAATATGTTGGCCATTAACCACAGGTCTTCCTTCAGAAACAGCCATGGCACTGTGGATGACAACACAGCTGCTGCTCCTTCTAGTGTGGGTGGCTGCGGTAGTTCCAGCCCAGGACTGCTCTGGTCAGGACTGAGCTTCTCAAAGTCTGTATGGATGCTAAGCACCACAAGGAAAAGCCAAGCAGTGAGGACACATTGCATGAACAGTGTACTCCTTGGAAGAAGAATGCCTGCTGCTCCACCAACACCATCCAGGAAGCCCGTAAAGATATTTCCCACCTGTATGAATTCAACTGGGACCACTGTGGAGAGATGGCGTCTGCCTGCAAATAGCATTTCATCCAGCATACCTGCCTCTACGATGCTCCCCTAACTTGGGGCCCTGGATCCAGCGGGTGGGCCAGACCTGGCACAAAGCTGAATGTGCCCCTGTGCAAAGAGGACTGTAAGCACTGGTGGGAGGATTGTCACTCCTCCCACCCCAGCAAGAGCAACTGGCACAAGGGCTGGAACTGGACCTTAGGGTGTAAACAGTGCCCAGTGAAAGCTGCTTGCCACCCATTCCCTTTCTACTTCCCTACACCTGCTGCTCTATGCAATGAAATCTGGAGTCACTCCTACAAAGTTAGCAACTACAACTGAGGGAGCAGCCGCTGCATCCAGATGTGGTTTGACCTGAATCAGGGCAACGCCAATGAGAAGGTGGTGAGGTTCTATGCTGAGGCCATGAGTGGGGCTGGGCTCCATGGTGCCTGGGCTCCCCTGCTCAGTCTGGCCCTAACGCTGCTCCGGCTGCTCTGCTGACCTCCCTTTGCCTTGTGGTACCTGGACATCCCTGCCCTGCTCCGCCCTACAGCTCCCAGCCATTCAGTTCCTGCTCCACAGTGGGGCCTCTGATGGCAAATTTAAATAAACCAGACACTAAAAAACAAAACAAACAAACAAACAAAAAACCCAAAAACAAAACCAAGTATGTTTTTCTCTTTTTCTTAGGTTCATATTTTCTAGTTGGTCTCAACAGGAGAGATAGTCCGAAACAAGCTGGTATCCCCACTGCAAGAGGTAGAATTTCTGAGGAGACCTAAGTTCTTGAGAGAGAACTACTGCTTCAAAGAAACCATTGATTCTGGATTGAAAAAGCCTGCAAATACATAGTCAAAAAACCCCCTTTGGGCTCCAACATTTTATGAGCAGACAATAGGCTGTCAAAGCTGAGCAAACCCCAAAAAGATATGATCTGCAATGTCTGCTTCAGATAAGACCAAGGAAAATTATAATGAAAAGAAGAACCTCCCAGAGGGCAGCAGCAAGAGGCCTGGAGAATGATGGAGAAAGGAGTCTCTTTCTGAAGGATCTATTCAGAATGTAAAGTGGTGCAGTGGCTGTGGAAAACAGTGGCGGGGGGTTCCTGAAAAAAGTTAAACATAGAATTTGTAGAAACTCCACTCCTAGATATTTTTCCAAAAGAAACTAAAACATATCTATGCACAGAAACTTGTACACAGATGTTTATAACAGCATTATTCATAACAGTCAAAAAATGGAAACAGGTCAAATGCCCATCAACAAATGAATAGATAAATTATGGTATAGCCACACAATGAATTATTATTCAGCCATAAAAAGGAACAAAGTGCTACAACTTGGATGAGCCTTGAAAACATTATGTTAAATGAAAGAAGCTAGGAACAAAAGATCATACATTAGATGATTCCTTTTAGATGAAAAATATGAAATAGACAAGTCCATAGAAAGAGAAAGCATATTAGTGGTTGCTAAGGGATAGTAGAAGAGGACAATGGGAAGTGATTACTTTTTAGGTATGGGGAATTCTTCTGAGGTGACGAAAAGGTTTTTAAATTAGAGAAAGGTGGTAGTTGCCCAACATTGTAAATGTACTATATGCCACTGAATTGTACACTTTAAAATGGCTAATTGTATGTTATGTAAATTTTACTTCAATGACAAATTAATTCATAATTAAAAGTGACTGTACAGAAACTCCACTTACAGCATTTTAATCCAAAACACTAAATACAAGAGTTTTTTCCAAGATTAGTTAGAAAAATAAATATTGTGTTTCAGTCTGGATTTTTTTTTTCTGATTTATCTTCCATTTCACTAGTTCTCTCTTTAAATATCCCCCATCCATATAATTCTTAATTTGGATTACATTTTTTTAGCCCTAGAATTCCTATTGGTCTTTTTCAAATCTCCTATGTCCTTTTTAATAATTTCTGATTCTCAGTTGAAATTCTCTATTGTACCTTGAATATAATTTACATGGCTATTTTAAAGCCTGTTTCTAATAATTCTAGAGCCCCTGGAGGCATTTGCATCTTTTGGTTCTTATTCACAATGTGTTATTTCCTTATGATTATCTTTGTGCACTGGGCTTTGTATAATATTTGAAACATTTGTGAAATAATCTGTAATAACAATGATTTCTTCCTTCAGAGAGGAGTTTTGTCCTAGGGGCAGTAGGAACCAGAATCACCTTAATTCGATTTCAAAGAGTGAGATTTTGTGGCTGCCAGAATATTCAAAGTTGTGTTACAATTCATGCAAGTCCTGCTTTACTTCGGGTATACCCTTAGCCTCTGAATTCCACCCTTAGATGCCCCATTCTAAATCTTGAGGGGTTTACCAGGGCTTCCACGTTTGATATACTCCTCCCCCCCCCACCTTTTAAATAGACCTTCTTTTTTTTTTAAGAGCAGTTTTAAGTTCATAGCAAAATTGAGCAGAAAGTATAGAGTTCACACACACCCCTAACTCCACCCGTGCACAGCTTCTCCCACTTCAACATCCCACATGAGAATGTTACAATTTGTTATAATTGACGAACCTACATTGATACATTATAATCACCCATAGTTTACATCAGGGTTCACTCTTGGTGTTGTACTTTCTATGGGTTTTGAAAAATGTATAATGACATGTATCCACAATTATAATATTACACAGAATAGTTTCACTGCCCAAAAAATCCTCTCTACTTCACCTACTCATTCATTCCTCCCTCTTAACCCTTGGCAACCACTGATCTTTTTACTATCTCCATAGTTTTGCCTTTTCCAGAATGTCATATAGTTGGAATAATACAGTACGTAGACTTTTCAGATTGGCTTCTTTCTCTTAGTAATAGGCATTTAAGTTTCCTCTATGTCTTTTTGGTTGGATACAGGATAGTTGTGTCATATTACATAGAATTATAGCTTTGTTATTGTCTTTATTTGGAGATTAAGTATGGTTTAAGATGTGTATGAGTGCCAAATTGACAAGGGGTAAACATGTGATAGTTAATTTCATGTGTCAACTTGACGGGGCTACAGGGTACCCAGATTAAACATTATTTTTGAGTGTATCTATGAGGATGTTTCTGGATGAGATTAGCAGTTGAATGGGTAGCCTTAGCAGATTGCCTTTCCCAATGTGAGTGGGCATCCTTTGATTTGTTGATGACCTGAGTAGAACAAAAAGCAGAGAAAGGGAGGATTCCTTTCCTTCCTGCCTGCCTGTCTGCTTGAGCTGGGGTATCAATCTTCTCTTGCCCTTGGATGGGGATTTATACCATCGGCTCCACTGGTTCTCAGACCTTAGAATTTGGACTGAAATTATATCACAGCTTTCCTGGGTCTCCAGCTTGTTGATGGCAGATCAAGGGACTTCTCAGATTCCATAATCACATATCAAATTTCTTATAATAAATAAATATTCAATTGGTTCTCTTTCTCTCGAGAACCCTGACTAATACAGCTATCCTGGGTCTTTTGCCTCTCCCTATACACTTTAGAAATGATTTGTCAATATCCACAAAATTACTTGCTGTGATTTTGCACTAAATTTAGAGATCAACTTGGGAAGAACTGACATCTTGACAATATCGAGTTTCCTATCCATGAACGTGGAATATCTCTTCACTTATTTAGTTCTTTGATTTCTTTTTTTCTTCCTTCCTTCCTCTCTATTTTTTTCTTTCTTTCTTTCTTTTGACAGGGTCTTGCTCTGTTGCAATGCAGTGGTGTTATCATAGTTCACTGTAACCTCAAACTCCTGGGCTTAAGCAATCATCCTGCCTTAGCCTCTTGAGTAGCCGGACTACAGGCATGTCTCACCACACCTGGCTAAGTTTTAAAAGTTTTTTTGGAGAGATGGGGTCTTGCTTTGTTGCCAAGACTTGTCTCAAACTCATGGCCTCAACACTCCTCCTGCCTCAGCCTCCCAAAGGGCTGGGATTACAGACATGAGTCACCACATCCTGTCTGGATTTTCTTTATATACTTCAACCAATGGCACTAATATGGCGACAACTGAATGAAGAAGTAGTTATAACTATCCTGTGGTCTTCTATCAAGCAGGCATTAAAGAGAAAAAAGACACTTGCAAAAATGAAAAACAGTCTTCTCATTAGCTTTTTTGGTTGTTTTTTGGAAAATATAGTCATTTTTCTTAAAAATATATTATTCATGCTACAATATAAAGGGCTTGTTATGACTTTTTCAATGAATTAATAAATATTTTTAAATTTTCTCAGTTTTTATTTCTAATATGGTAAATATTGATAGATACAAGAAACATTAAAAAAAAGCTTTTTGCAGGTCTTCAATAATTTTTAAAATTTGAAAGGACTCCTGGGATCAAACTGTTTAAGAACAGCTGCTCTAGCTTATTTCAATTTACCCTTTGCATTTCAATTTATATGCTATTTTTTTCTTGGCCTGACCATCCAATAAATGCTTTTCCCAACTATCCTGCTTGGTTGTGGGTGTCCTGTAGGCTCCCTTAATAACACTATACTTTATCTATCATTAGCAGCTCTTTTCAGGGCCATTGGGTTTTTTTTTTTTTTTTACATATATATAACAGTTTTACTGAGATATAATTAACATATACAGTTCACCTCTTTAAATTACATAATTTCCAGTTTTTTAGTATATTCATGGAGCTGTGTAACTATTAGCACAATCAATTTGACTTGTTTATTTATTTATTTTAAGCCAATCAGATTTAGCAGCGGGGGAGTTGTAGACCAACTTTAGTGACACTAATGTTAATAAGTTCTGTTAACCCACTACCATCAGACCAGCCAGCACAATCGATTTTAGAGCATTTTTTTTTTTTTCAGTAGAGACGAGGTCTCATTCTTGCTCAGGCTGGTCTTGAACTCCTGAGCTCAAGCGATCCTCCCACCTCAGCTTCCCAGACTGCTAGGATTACAGGCATGAGCCACCCACTGTGCCTGGTCTAGAGCATTTTTTTTTATTATCCCCAAAAGAAATTCTGTACCCATTAGCAATCACCCCCTATTTTCTCCCTGATCCTACAGTCCTAGTAATAGGCTGGAGCAGTAGTCTACTAATCTACTTTCTGTCTCTATAGATTTGTCTATGCTGAACATGTCAGATGAATGGAATCATACTTTGTGACTGGTTTCTTTCACTTAGCAGAACAAACTCAAGGTTCATCCATGGTGTACATGTATCAATAATTCATTCCTTTATATGGCCTAATAATGTTCCATTGTATGGATATACTACATTTTGTTTGTCCATTTATCAGTTGATGGACATTGGGTTGTTTCCACTTTTTGGCTACTATGAATAATGTTGCTGTGAATACTTTTGTACATGTTTTTGTGTAAATGTATGTTTTCGATTCTTTCGGGTATATACCCAGGAGTGGAACTGCTGGGTCATATGGTAATGTTATGTTTTTACAATTTGAGAAACTGCCAGCTGGTTTTCCAAAGTATTTTTTTTTAATTTGGAGATGGGGGTCTATGTTGCCCAGGCTGGAGTGCAATGGCTATTCACAGGCATGATCATAGCATACTGTAGCCTAGAACCCCTGGCCTAAAGTATCCTCCCACCTCAGACTCCCGAGTTGTTGGGACTACAGGAGTGCACCACCAAGCCCACCCCAGAGTATTTTATATTCCACTAGCAGTGCATAAGGGTTCCAGTTCCTCCATATTCTTGTCAACATTTGTTATTATCCGTCCTTTTGATCACAGCTCTTCTAGTAGCTGTACTGTGGTATGCCCTTGTGGTTTTTAACTTGCATTTCTCTGATGGTTAATGATGTTGAGCATCTTTTCATGTCCATTTGTATATTTTCTTTCTTTTTTTTTTTTTTTTGAGACAGAGTCTCACTCTTTTGCCCAGGCTAGAGTGAGTGCTGTGGCGTCAGCCTAGCTCATAGCAACCTCAAACTCCTGGGCTCAAGCGATCCTACTGCCTCAGCCTCCCGAGTAGCTGGGACTACAGGCATGCGCCACCATGCCCGGCTAATTTTTTCTATATATTTTTAGTTGTCCGATTAATTTTTTTCTATTTTTAGTAGGGACGAGGTCTCGCTCTTGCTCAGGCTGGTTTCGAACTCCTGAGCTCAAACAATCCTCCCGCCTCGGCCTCCCAGAGTGCTAGGATTACAGGCGTGAGCCACCGCACCCGGCCTCCATTTGTATATTTTCTTTGGAGGAATGTTTATTCAAGTCCTGTGCTCATTTTAAAATTGGGTTGTCTTTTTTTTTTTTTTTTTGAGACAGAATCTCACTCTTTTTGCCTGGGCTAGAGTGCCATGGCATCATCCTAGCTCATAGCAACCTCAAACTCCTGGGTTCAAACAATCCTTCTGCCTCAGCCTCCCAAGTAGCTGGGACTACAGGCATGCGCCACCATGTCCGGCTAATTTTTTCTGTATATTTTTAGTTGTCCAATTAATTTCTTTCTATTTTTAGTAGAGACGGGGTCTCGCTCTTGCTCAGGCTGGTTTCGAACTCCTGAGCTCAAACAATCCTCCCGCCTCGGCCTCCCAGAGTGCTAGGATTACAGGCGTGAGCCACCGGGCCGGGTCTGGGTTGTCTTTTTACTGTTGAGTTATAATAGTCCTTTATATATTCTGAATCTTAGGCCCTTATCAGATATACTATTTGCAATTTTTTTTTTGCAACCCCCCCTTATTTGCAAATATTTTCTCCCATTGTTTAGGTCATCTTTTCAACACTAAAGGCAAAAGTTTAAATTTTGATGAAGTCCAATTTATCAGTTTTTCTTGGGTTGCCTGTACTTTTGGTATCATGTGCTTTGCCTGTACTTTAAGAAGCCATCATCTAATCCAAGTCATGAAGATTTTTGTCTGTGTTTCCTCCTAAGGGTTTTATGGCTTTACCTTTGATCCATTTTAAGTTAGTTTTGTAGATGTTGGCAGGTAGGAATCCAAAGTTACTTTTTTATACGTGGATGGATGTCCAGTAGTCCTAGTACCAATTGTTGGAAAGACTGTTCTTTCACCATTGAGTTGTCTTGGCATTTTTGTTGACGTAAATGTGAGGGTTTATTGGTTTATTTCTGGATTCTCAATTCTATTCCATTTGTTTATATCCTTATCCTCAATCCTTATGCTACTAAGGCCATCGTATTTCAAAGAAGAAACCTTGGGTCATTCTCAAAAACTCAAAGTAGCCAATTAAAGAGTTGGAATTAGCTCTTCTCCCCCAACCCTGAATTCAGAACTTTCAGCATTGATCTTTTTCATTAGCAGCCATCAAGATTGTGTCCAGCGGGGTTGTTTTTCTGTTGTTTTTAATCAAGGTCATGTGTTTGGCAGGGGAGCGGCTGGTTAAGCGAAAATGGTAGCTCTAGGGTTAGAATCACTGTCATGCAAATCAACATATTTAGAGAGGGTTGACTAGCAAGGCTGGGAAGAGACAAAAGAAATATCTTGGCTCAGTCGTCAGAAACCCGCAAGGTGTTGGAGAGGGAGGAGTCTAGGTTGTCAGTATGGCTCCAAACCTTGACACAGGGGGCCGGCATCTTTCTCTCCGGGGGATGGGCTCAGGACTGAAGCACAGGGCCTGGTGTTCGGAGGAGCGGACGAGACCTGTACCACTGCGCGACCACCCAGGGGGTCAAGCAGGCTCTAGAGCCCTTCCGCTTGTTGGCGGCTCCCCCACGTGTTTTCCCGCCTCGTCTCTCTTTGCTTCTCCATCCCTCCTCCCTGCGCGTAGCGGAAGTGACGCGAGGCGTAGCGGAAGTCCCTGCAGCCGTGGTGTTGTGCTGTGGGGAAGAGAGACGGATTTGTAAACCCCGGAGCGAGGTTCTGCCTACCCGAGGCCGCTGCTGTGCGGAGACCCCCGGGCGAAGCCACCGTCGCCATGTCTGACCAGGTAGCGGGCTGGGAGCCATCTGACGGCGGCGGCCGGGACTTTGCCCCGCAGATCTGCCTGCCGCTCGGCTGGGGCCGGGGATGGAAGCGCGGGGGAGGGGAGCGCGGAATGGGGGAGGGGGCGGCCGGTGGCGACTGGGCAGGCGAAGGAGGGAAGCGGACTGGGGTCGGAGACGCCCGGGCCTGGCGCGGGGCTGCGGGAGGCGCCTCGCCCCTCTCCGGGCTTGCTCATCACCCCCTGTGCCCCAGTGCCTCTGGCTGCGGCCTCCCTCATGTCGTCCCCCCTTTCTCCCGGGTCGACCAGGTGCGGAGCCCCGTTTCCACTTCCCTGAAAGAGTCCCTGGAGAACCCGTCCGTCTCCCTCCAGAGGACTGATCGCAGAAGCAGGGCCTTAGGCCCCAGTTATGTAACGGGAGAGAATTCCTGACTGGGAGGCTCCGTCGCCCTGAAAAGCGGCTGGACTCCACTTTTTGCTTCTTCGTAGGGGAGGGCGGGGGTGCGATGAGAGAGACGTTGTCCGATGTTGGAAATCTAGAAAGTACTGCGTTCGGTTCAGATTGCAGCTAGGGTAGGGCTGCCGCCGCTCTCTGAGTCTTTTTTTCGTGTGGGGGTGCAGAGCTGTCGCCTCTTTTCTGTACTTTCCCATTTCTTACTCGGGATTGGTTCATCAACTCTCCAGTTGTAAGAGAGCACTCAGAATAAGCAAGAAACAAAGTAGAACAAAACTGCTAGAACAACAAAAAACATTTCATCTGGGCATTAACCTGAAGATGACTGATACTTTTGAGGAAAACGATAGGAAAATTTATGTGTAGAACAGTTGCAGAACATTTGCAGAAAGCTGCCTGTTATGGCAAAGTGCTCCATTGCAATGTGAGTATCAGGAATTTACTTGAGATTTGTACTCGATCAGGAGTGATCGATTTTCCTAAGTTTTTCTTTCTCGTTCTGTTATAGTTAACCACGTTTCTAGCTAGTTTTTAATTCATAAAGTTTTTGTCTGGTCTTCCTTTTGTTTGTTCAGACGACTTTTACTTTTAAAAATATTTTTGGACCTTCTCTTTAGGGGTAGTTATTCAGAAAACTATTTTTCATTCAACTCCAGGATGTATTTGAAGTTTTAAATTTAACACACTTATTCCCTTGGCTTTTAACCTAGTTTTGTACCACTTGGTGAGAGCAAGCGAGGTTTTGTGGATTTGTGCTATTGTACAAAATGTACACTTATATTTTAAAATTTAACCATAATCTAAATTAGTTTTAGATGGATCTACTTATTAATAATCTCGATTAATTCCCAAGTTGGTATGGGAATGGCATTATAACTAGATAGTTGTTTACTTGGTTACTAGGGAGGAAAGGATAGATAAAAATAGTTTCATCAGCCTTTTGTTTTGATGCTCAGAAATGTCTAGGAAGCATTTTGAAATTTACTATAGTATGATGAAAGAGCAATATACAGAAAGAATTATAAAATAAATTGTAGAATTTATTGCTCCAGTTTGAAGTTAGGTCATTTAAGAGATACATGAAAGAATAAAGGACTAGGACACAAACAGATTTTTTTCAGGGGGTCCGTAAGGGCAAACTATTTTCATGTTCATACTAGGACATTATCTTTTCACTCTCAATTCTTTCATGAGTGTTCAGTGGAGTTTTCTAGAAACTAATATGACCTGTGATATCACACCAAATTGAAATGTGGAAGCAGATGTGAAAATCCACCTGTTTTTATTAAGCCCGACATTAAAGAGATTTGCAAAAAATGTAAAACAGTGCCACTTTTCTCATTACTTTTGAAAAATATTTTAATAAAAATATGTATTAGCATATAATGGGTTTATTGGTGCTTTAAAATGAATTAATAAATATTTAAAACATTTCTCAGTTTCAATGTTTAATACTGTAAACATCAATGTATATAACCAACCTAACAAAAGCTTTATGAGGTTATAAATAATTTCTAAGAGTGTAAGAGTCCTGAGACCAAAAAGTTTGAGAACTGTTGCTCAAGGCTAATTGACCAACATCATTATTATTAATAACAATTAGGACCCAGTACAAGTTCTGTGTTGGGTGCTAAAGATTTAAACAGATAGGAAGCTGAATGCTTACTTAGCCTTAAGAGATTTGTGAGAGCACGGAATCCTACATTGCTACTGTGTAATATCAGTATGAGACTGAACTAGTGTCCCCAAAAGACAACCCTAATTTTAACCAAGTTCTTTTAGAATGATGTGTTTTCTGAAGTACCTCTCAGGGTACTGTCTGAGATATTAAAATTGAGGAATAACTTCACCTGTTTAACCAAACAGGTGAACATGGCCAGGTGCAATGGCTTACATCTGTAATCCTAGTACTTTGGGAAGCCAAGGTGGGAGGATCGCTTGAGCCCAGGAATTCAAGACGAGCCTGAGCAACACAATGAGAGTCCCTCTCAACAAAAAATAAAAGAAAAATTAGCTGGTGTGGTGGCGCATGCCTGTAGTCCCAGCTACCCTGGAGGCTGAAGCAGAAGGATCACTTGAGCCCAGGAATTTGATGTTGCAGTGAGCTATGACGCCATTGCACTCTAGCTCTGGCAACTGAGCGAGACTTTGTCTCCAAAAAAAAGGCAGACATTAAGTTCACATAAGACTTCAATTGCTGAGTTTCTCCATTGATTAATGAAAAATGATTATTTTTGGAATTTGAGTGAAATACTTTTTTATAATTTTAAGAACTCCAGGATTATTTAGTGGATTGCGGACTGTTACTAAATAATTGTCTAAAACAGGTTCCTAACCTAAGCTAAGGGCTCAGAATCCACTGAAATTGTTTTGTGTGTTTTATATTCATGTCTATATGTGTATATCTATCTATGTATATGTAAAATTATTATTTTTTTTAGAGAGTAAGGACCCACAGCTCTCATTAAGGGTACACGATCCCTCAGAAAGGTTAAGGAGCATACTTTTTAACCAATAATAGAAATCTGATTGAGTATTCTGCTTTAGCCTAATCTCACCTTGCAGCAAAACAGCACTCACATAGAACCAGAAGCTTAATATCAAAGGGTAGAGGTAATTTGTACAAATATTTTCCTTTCTTCCTTTCTTATGTTTGGGTTTATAGTGTTTCTTTTCTATACTCATCAAAGGCAGCTTGGACCTCAGCTCTTCAGTTCAGGTCTGTTAGTTGTAACAATTGAATGACTGATTTACTCTAATTGAATCTGTCATAACAAGATTCACTCTCTCCACCTCCATCAAAAAAGAGAGATTGATTTCATTTTATCTTTAGTCAAGGATTTGGAAGCATTGGGTAATTCTGATTATCTGTTGCTGCCTAATAAACTCCCTCAAAATTTAGTAGCTTAAAACAACAGCCTTTTATTTGCTCATAAATCTGCAATTTAGGCGGGGCTCTGTGGGTTGGACTCATCTGCTTCTTGGTGTGTGGGCTCTCCACTGAGAAGACTCAAATGGCTGGGGTCTAGAACAACTGGAGGTAGGGAGGAATGGGGCTGGGCTCTTCACGCAGTCTCAGCGCCTCTCTTGAGTGGGTCTCATCATGCGTTCTCAGCATGGAGACCCCAGGCAACAGAGTGAGACTCTGCCTCAAAAAAAAAAAGAATCAAGCTTTATTTATCCTTTTTTCCTATAATGCCCAGCACAGTGACTGGATACTTAGTACAAGGTTTTTTTTTTTTTTTGGAGACAGAGTCTCACTGTGTTGCCTGGGCTAGAGTGCCGTGGCGTCATCTTAGCTCACAGCAACCTCAAACTCCTGGGCTCAAGCGATCCTCCTGCCTCAGCCTCCCGGGTAGCTGGGACTACAGGCATGCGCCACCATGCCCGGCTAGTTTTTTCTATATATTTTTAGTTGTCCAATTAATTTCTTTCTATTTTTAGTAGAGACGGGGTCTCGCTCTTGCTCAGGCTGGTTTCGAACTCCTGAGCTCAAACAATCCGCCTGCCTCGGCCTCCCAGAGAGCTAGGATTACAAGCGTGAGCCACCGCGCCTGGCCACAAGTTTTTTTTTTTTTGAGGGAATGAGTGGTACTATTCATCCATTCAACAAATATTTATTGAATATCAGTATGTTCTCAGCACCATTCTAGGCCCTAGAATTGGAAGGTTGCCTAAAAACATGAAGCAGCAGGTATCTTCCTCCTCCTCTTCAGGTTTTGTTATTGAGGATGGGTTGGTTGCCTGGAATAGTCTTTCTCTTAAGATCTTTTTGCATAACTTTTCTTGATCTTTACTTCTGTTAGCAATAGACCTGGTAATTTTATCTCCAAGATCGAATCATTTACTTCTTTCAGGATATTGGGATTGTTATAGATAATTTTTTATTAGGACATCTTTAGCATTCCATTTTGGAATTTTCTGAAATTATTCTATTTCTTTAAAAAAGGAACGGCGGGGGGGGGGAAGTTCACACAGATACTATTACTGAGCACTTTGGTTTTACAGTTTAAAATTTGGATGCTTTCTGCAACATAGCTATGTTTATTTAAAGATACATTGTATTTGTTATATTTTTGGCTATTCTTTTTGCATTCATTTGCCTTTTCTGAGCTAAAGAGGATCTGATGGAAAAGACCTGAAGGAAGGAAGGGTGGAGTTCTGTTTGCCGGTCTCACTATTCTCAATGTCTAGGGCCAGTTATTTTTAAAGGTTTTACTGAAGATTAATATACCTACAAAAAAGTGCACGAGTAAAAAAGCTTCCTGAATTTTCACAAACACAGCGATGCAACCAGCACCCAGATCAAGATCCACTGTCCTGAGTTTTAACACATAGATTTAGTTTTGTCTGTTTTTATACAATATAATATTTTATAAATGTAATCATACAGTATGTACTTTTCTGGCTGGCTTCTTTTGCTCAGCATTGTTTAGAGATTTGTCCATTATTATGCACAGGTATGTTATTAAATCTCATTGCTGTCTGTATTGCGTTCCATTTTGTGACTGTACCATGATTTACTTAACCGTTCTGCTGTTTTTTTTTTTTT